TGAGTGGCAAGTAGTGAGTAGTGAGTAGGGACTAGCGAGTAGTGAGTGCTGACTAGGGAGTAGAGAGTGATGAGTAGTGGGTAGTGAGTAGTTTGTAGTGAGTAGTGGGTGGCGAGTAGTGATTAGTGAGTAGTGAGTAGTGGGTAGTGCGTAGTGCGTAGTGAGTAGTGAGTAGTGAGTAGTGAGTAGTGCGTAGTGAGTAGCGAGTAGTGAGTAGCGAGTAGTGAGTAGTGAGTGGTGGTTAGGGGCAGTGGGTAGTGAGTAGTGAGTAGCGAGTAGGGAGTAGCGAGTAGTGAATAGTGAGGAGCGAGTAGGGCGTAGTGAGTAGTGAGTAGAGAGTAGTCAGTAGTGAGTAGTGGGTAGTGATTAGTGAGGAACGAGAAGGGAGTAGCGAGTAGTGAGGAACGAGAAGGGAGTAGTGAGTAGTGAGTAGGGAGTGGGGATTAGGGAGCAGTGAGTAGTGAGTAGTAAGAAGTGGGTAGCGAATAGTGGGTAGTGAGTAGCGATTGGTGAGTAGTGGGTAGTGACTAGTGACTAGTGAGTTGTGACTAGTGACTAGAGACTATGTGGTGACTAGTGAGTAGGGAGTAGTACGTAGTGGGTAGCGAATAGTGAGTGGCGGAGAGTGAGTAGTGAGTATTGAGTAGCGAGTATGGGAGCAGCGAGTAGTGAGTAGTGAGTACCGTGTAGTCAGTATTGTGTAGGGAGTAGGGAGTAGCGAGTAGCGAGTAGTGGGTAGTGAGTAGTGATTTGTGGGCAATGAGTCGTGAGTAGTGGATAGTGGGTAGTGGGTAATGAGTAGTGATTAGTGAGTAGTGAGTAGTGCTTAGTGAGTAGTGAGTATTGAGTAGTGGGTAGTGCGGAGTGAGTAGTGAGTAGTGAGTAGTGAGTGAGTAGGGAGGAGGGAGTAGTGAGTAGGGAGTAGTGAGTAGCGAGTAGTGGGTGGTGGGTAGTGAGTAGTGGACAGTGGGTAGTGAGTCGTGAGTAGTGAGTATGGGGTACTGAGAAGTGGGTAGCGAATAGCGAGTAATCAGTAGTGGGTAGTGAGTAATGAGTAGTGACTGCTCTTTAGAGCTGGGGTTAGTGGTTGAGGTTCGGATTAGGGGTTTGGGTTAGGGTGAGGACTCGGGGTGGCGGGGTGTCGGGTTCCGGAGTCAGGGGGCGGCGTGGCGAAAGGGGGGGAGGGGGGGGGGGTCGGACCCCCTCCTTTTGAAAGGGGGGAAGGGGCGGGGGGTCCCACACGAGGTGGGAAAAGAGGGGGGGGGGGGGCGTCCCCCACGACGAATTGGGGAAGGGGGGAGGGGGGGGGGGTCCCCGACGACGGATCGGGAAACAGGGGGGGGGGGGTCGTAACCCCCCCCCCTTCCTACCCCCCCCCCCTTGGGGAGATCCAGCGGCGCACCCTCGTCATAAGACGTCCTACAGCAGGAGGAGAAGGAGGATGAGAGGTGGAGGAGGAGGGGCGGGAGGGACGAAGGGCGGGGGGAGAAAAATGGAGGAGGAGGAGGAGGAGGAGGAGGAGGAGGAGGAGGAGGAGGAGAGTTTACCAGACCCACTTCAAATACGCCCCTATAAGCTAGCCGAGTTGCGGTGGTGACGCCGGATCTCCCGATCTAAATCGATATTGATCGATGCAAGCCCTGGTGAATATGTGAGCCAGCGATATTTGTAGCCAACGTCTTTCGGCCCAGCCCGTCACCGTGCCTGGCAGCTTGGATACAATCCTAGCGGCTTCCGCCGTCCCTCGATTCGCGAGAAGCACCCCCTAGGCGCCCAGAGTCCCCCGAGAAGTTCCCAGAAGGGCGAAGAGGTCCCCAAGAGGGCCCGAAGAGGCTTCCAAGATGTCCGCAAGTGACCTCCCAAGGGACTCCAACGAGGACCGCCAACCTCCACCCCTAAGGCTTACTGAGGTAGCCCAAGAGGCCTATAAAGAGGCCGCCTCCTAGACCCACTGCGCCCGAAACCCAAACGACTGGCCGCCAGGTGATGATGTGCAAGGATTGCACGGAGGTCATGCGACTGCGCCGGGAGCGCCGGAAGTTGCTCAAGAAGCAGGCAGGCAGGAGTGTCGGAGGAGAAGAATGAGGAGGCCAATGGGGACGAGGAGGAGAGGAGGAGGAACATTGTGCGAAGGAGGAGGAGGAGGAAGAGGAGGAGGAGGAGAAGGGAGGGAGGGAAGGGGCGGGAGGCCAGCTGGGTAGAGAGAAAGGAGGAGTGAGAGGAAGGAGGAAGGAGGAAGGAGGCGAAGGAGGAGGAGAAGGGAAAGGAGGATAAGAAAAAACATAAGAAAAAGGACGAGGAGTGGAGGAGAAGGAGGACGGACAATGAGGAGGGGATGAGGAGGACGGGGAGGCGGAGGAGAATTAGACGGGCGGGGGAAGGGACGGGAGGTTAGGAGGGGAGGGGGAGGAGGGGGAGGAGGAGGAGGGGAGGAGAAGGAGGAGGAGGAGGAGGAGGAGGAGGAGGAGGAGAAGGAGGGGGAGGAGGAAAAGGAGGAAAGAGAGACAAGGAGGAGGAGCAGGAGGAGGAGGAGGAGGAGGCCCGGTGCCACTGCGTCTCAAACGTGCAGGAGTCCCTCCGACGCCGCATGGACACCGATTGTCCTCGGTTTGCTCCCTATGCTTTCCGTGTCCAGCGACGAACTCCGCTGGCCAGCCGCGGCCCCATTTCCACACCCTGCGGCTGCACCGTGGGCGCGTCGCGGCCCACCTCCACATTCTGCGGCCTCTTCCCGGGCGGGCCGCGGACGACCGTCGTGGAGCCTCTGTTGGTTGGCCTGCGCTTCGTTTCGGAGCGTTCCGGAACGCTCTGAGGAGGCTGTGGCGCCCGAGACATCCGCCAGAAGCGCCGCATCTCAGAGATTCTCAAGTTATCTTTGCCCGAGTTTATCAGCAGTGGCTCTCGCCAGTCGACGCCAGCGTCGGCCCCCCCAGGGCGGAGAGAGTGGCGCGAGCCGGCAGGCGGCGCCCTCCACGGCGCGGAGGGAGGGCGGCATCAGGCGCGGGAGGAAACGCCGCCCCCGCGAAGGAGCCGCAGCCAGCAGGGGCGAGGCGACGACCCTGGCGTCGGCGATCGGCGTGACTTTCTCGCGCGTGCCCCTCGGCCATGCCGCGGCCTCGCCGCGTGAGTGCGCCTGTCCCCCTTCTTCTCCCCCTCTCGCGGCCGGCCCTCGTCTATTCCTCCCCTCCTGCATTCGGGACAATTCGCAATGCCGTCGCCCAGCTTGCCGAAGGCCCGTGCGGACTGACTATGCCGCGCTGCGACGTAAAAAGGGTAGTGTTTTGGAGAAGCACACAACCAATCACGTCATCGGCGGCGAAAAGATGAAGAGTTGCGCGCAGGAAATTTGAGGGAACTCGCTTTGCGGACGCTCGCCCAGGAAACATTCAGCGGATTTGGGGTACCAGGGGGTCTCCACTATGCGGTTAAACGGTTTCAATATGTTCGTGTGCGTTTGAGCGAGAAAAAACACGCAAGGGAATTGTTCATGTGTGTGTGTGTGTCGACGCATGTGTGCGCAAGTGTAATGTAGGTGTATGTGTATAGGTGCATGCCCACGTGTACATGTGCATGTGTATGCAGGTGTGTCTGCGTATGCCAATGTGTATGTGCATGCCCATGTGTATGTGTGAGCTCGTGTATCGTTCGGGCATGGTTCCGAACCGTGCGTGCATGCGTGTGTTTATGTGTGTGTGTGAGTGAGAGAGTGTGTGCACGTGTGTGTGTGTGTGCGTGTTTGTTAATCCGCCTCGTCGCTGCGCGCGAGGCCGCTACTGGCAAAGCGTGTGTGCGTCTGTGTATGTGTGAGCGTGCGTGTGTGTGTGTGTGTGTTTGTGTGTGTGTGTGTGCGTGCGTGTGTGTGTGTGTGTGTGCGTGTGTGCGTGTGTGTCTGTGTGTGTGTGAGTGTGTGTTTGTGTGTGTGCGCGTGTGCCTCCAGCTCGGGGGATTTTGAGGGCTGTGCGCTGAGTGGTTCAGCCTTCCGCGCTCGCTTTGCCTCTTGTTTTCCACCGCGGGCAACCCGGCTTCCCGGGCACTTGTTTCTTAGCCAGCCGGGCCGGCTGCTTAGAGTTTGGCACCGCACCGGCGACTCACTCCGCTGCGCTCGCACCAGTTGCCGCTTGTTCACTTTGTTTTACAGTGCGGCGCCAATGTGCGTCTGCTGGTGAATTTAGAGCATTTTGTTCTGTGCATGTGCAACTGCGCGCTTGCTGTGCAGGTGCGATCCGGCTTGCCAACGTGGCGGTTGTGTTCGCGAATTCGCATCGTGCCGCCTGCCCCGGACTTTGCCCGTCGCCGCCAGACCGTTGTCGCGCGGCCGCAGACCAAAAAAGTGCGCCTCCAGCTCGCGCTGGACCTGCAACCCCCGCCGCCTGGCTCGCCCGCCTCCTGGCTGCCGCCCCCCCCGGCTGCCTCGCGGCCGCTGCCTCCCCGCCGCCCCGGCGCCCCCCCCACCGCGGCCTGGCCCTGCTCTCCTCCCTCCCGCCCGCGCCTGGCCTCCCCCTCCTCCCCACGTGCATTGCGGCCTAATTCGCACTTGTATGCCCTATATATATATATATATATATATATATATATATATATATATGTGCGTGTACATGCTTGTTCGGATATCTAGGGCCAGCGCCCTGGTTCGGAGGTTTCCTGGAACTTAAGTGAGTTTCGGATTTGATCTAGAGGTTGAGTTTGAGAGAAAGACCAGAGGTGATTCAGAGCTCTGTCTGTAGTCCATCGTGGTTCAAAAGATAGAAAGATGGTAGCGGAGCTGGACTAGCTCCAGCTCCCAGTCCCGCCACTCCCACACCCGCGCGCCAGCGCGCGCGAGATCCGCTTTTGGCGGCACGACAGATCGAGACGACGGAGTTCGAGACTACGAGCACCGCGACGGACACCCACGAGCGTTGGACTCAAGTGGGCGTTGAGGACGATTGGCAGTGGACTGTGCTGAAGTTGATTCGGTTCAGCCGATTGAAGGGATACTTGCACGAGTTACATTCAACGAGATGCGCGACGCAGTGCAACAGGCTCGACAGGACATGCACGATCTACGGCAACAGAACGCCGCGCTCCAGCGACAAGCAGATCAGGCTGGAGAGCCTGAGATCATCAGACGGCTCGGCGAGGTGCTCGAGAGAGTCACAGAACGGCCGCCGCCACCGGCGGCCCAGCTGATTCAAGCGAAGGACACCGGAAAGCCACAGGCCTTCAAGAATGAAGAGTCGAAGTTCAGCGAGTGGCTCCAGAAGCTCAATAGCTACGCGCTCAGCGTCTTCGGCGTGAACTCCCGGCCGGCGATCGAGTGGGCAGTCGACCAGGCGAACGACGCGGCCACGCTCACCACGGCCGCTGCGATGGAGCAGTTTGTAAATGAGGCCGAGGACGGCGAGGCAGTCGACAACGTGGACGAGAAGCTCTCGCAGCTCTACGCGGTGTTCGTCTCGCTCACGGAGGGCGAGCCCTTCGACCTGGTGGTCGGCGCAGGCCGAGGAAATGGAGCTGAGGCCCTGCGATTGCTGGCGCGGCGCTGGGATCCTACCAGCGGCGGTCGCCGCCGCGTGCTACTCAAGAAAATCACGGCGCCGACCAGGGTCGCAAAGCTCGAGAACTTGGGCGCAGAGGTTGCGAAATTGGAAGAGCTGGTCAGGCGCTACGAGAGGCGCAGAGCCGACGGTCGAGACGCACACCTAGACGACGAAATCATGATGAGTGCGCTCGAGAGCCTCGCGCCGCAGGACGTCGAGATGCACCTTGCCCTCAACCGCGCCAGATTCCAGGACTACGCTGCGATGCGAGAGGAGGTCAGGAGCTTCCTGGAGACCAGACAAGCTCAGGGGGCCCTTGGTCGGTCGAGAGGCGACCCAATGGAGGTCGACGCGTTCGTCAGGAGAGGCGACGGCAAGGGCGAGCGCGGCGAGGTCAAGGGCAAAGATGGCAAGGGCAAGAACGGCAGCGGAAAAGGGAAGACGGGCAACTCGAACGTGATCTGCTGGAACTGCCGAAAGAAGGGCCATCGCGCACAAGACTGGTGGAAGCCCACCGAGAGAGGAAGTAAGGATGACAAAGGCAAGGGCAAAGGATACGGCAAGGATCCGAAGGGTCAGCGTTTCCAACAGCAAGGCGTTCGCCGAGCCTATCTCAACAATTTCGGGGGCGATCTCAACAATTTCGAGGGCGACACGCAGAGCGCGATCAGCGCGCAACTACCGACATCGGCCTCGCAGGCTGGCGTGTGCAACCAGTCGCCCGCCGCGCTCAGCTTCGATGCCTTCGAGCGCGTGCTGGAGCTGAACAGCGTGGAGGCGAAGGGTGAGAAGCAGCGCAGGAAGTGCATTGCGATGACGTTCGACACCGGCGCCGCCGCCACGGCCTTCCCGCTCGAGCAGGAGGGCGAGTGCGCCGAGGCCGACGGCAGCTGATGCCGCACAGCCGCCGGCGAGATCGTAGAGGACGAGGGCGGCGTCGGCATCAGAGGAGTGTCGGAGCACGGCGAGAGTATGTTCCTGAAGGGCAGGCGCGCGAACATCGGCAAGCCGCTCCTGTCCGCCTCGGCCACCACCGCCAAGGGCCACTTCACGTGGGTCGGCGCCTTCGGCGGCCGCATCCTGAAGGAGAGCGAGTTCGCGCAGGAGATCCACCAGAGGATCGACCAGTGCGTGGCTGAGGGCAACGAGGGCATCGCGCCGCTGTACCTGCAGAACGGAGTCTACAAGATGGACGTGCTGATGGACCAACCTGGCGGCGCCACTTCGTCGGGGTCGGCTCCTGTTGCCGAGCTCTGTCCGTGGGCGCCGGCGGGCGCGGGCCCTCATTGGCAGGCAGCGGTCCCGCGGGAGGCGCGAGCGCCTCGGAGCCGCCGGAATCGCCGGCAGCGGGACCGCCCGTAAGACCACCAGCAGCAGCGCTAGGGAGTAGAGATCCCGCTCCCCAGCCAGCTGAAGTACGAGAAGGGATCGGAAACGACGAGGACTATGACGGCAATCCTCAGGGGGTTGCGCCGGCGAAAGTGCAAGGGCGAAGCGACTGCCTACTCGAGCTGAAGTTGACCAGCGCGAGGTTACAGGTCACGCTGTATTTCGAGCTCGGTGTGAAGTTTGTTGTGCAGCTCGAGGGCTTGGCCAACCTCATGAACTACAAGCTGAAGTTCGGGAAGGTGCAGATCTGGCTGTGGCCATTGACTTCGCGTTCATGGGCGAGGAGACCGGCGAGGGGGACGAGGGCCAGGAGGACAACTTCCCGATGCTGGTGGCCAGAGATTCTAAGACAAAATTGCCCTACTCGACAGCGATTCTGGGCAAGAAGGTCACCAACTTTATGATCAAGATTCCGATGAGCTTCATCCTGCATCTCGGCTACCGCAGGCTGATTTTCCAGAGCGACGGGGAGCCCGCGATCGCGGCGCTCAAGACGGCGGTCGCGGTGGCGACGCCGACGGTGGAATTCTTGCCTCGAGAACCGCCGGCAGGAGAGCGCCAGAGCAACGGAGGCATCGAGGTCACCGTGCGAGAGGTCAAGAGGCACGGCAGGGCGAACAGGTACGCACTGGAGGCCAAGCTCGGCAGGAAGGTGGACGATGACCACCCGATCTTGAAGTGGCTACCCCAGTACGCCGCGGCCTGCATTGGCCGGCACCGACGCGGAACCGACGGCCTCACTGGAGAACAACGGCGCTCAGGCCGCGATTGGAAGGAGCTGGAAGCAGAGTTTGGCGAGCGGGTGGTGTACAGGCCGCTCGCGCCAGGAGGTCGCAGGAGTACCATGGAGGAGCGCGTGAAGTCCGGGAACTTCCTGGGCTATTACATGATGCGGACGGGGGCCCTGCTCGTCATGATGGTTGACGGCGTGGAGAAGGCCCAAGGTTTCAAGAAACTGCCGAAGGAGCAAGCCTGGGACAGCAAGGACGGGGCAGCTCTTCGAGGAGTTCCCTGGGCGACTCGCCTGGAGGAGGAGGCGCCTTCTCTGGCGAGAGCGCCGGTCGTGGCTACCGTGCGGATGGAGCCACGAGCCCCGCGAGCGAGGTGCGTCCTACGCCGCGACATCGAGAAGTATGGTGCCACTGCGGGCTGTCCAGGATGTTTCGAGCTGACGCAGAAGGGCAGGATCACGAAATCCCATAGCGACGAGTGCCGCGACAGGATCGCAGAGCTAATGATGGGTAACGACGAAGATCGAGTACGAGTTACCGAACACCACTTTCGAGCCGGAGACCAAGCAGTACGCGGTCGAGGTGTTCGAGGTCGAGAAGCAGCTGGAGGAGACCAAGCTGCCCTACCGCCGCCCTCTGGAGACGGCGACCGAGCTCCTGCCCCAGAGCCGAGGGACACCGAGATGGCGGTGGTGCTGGCCGGAGGCAGCGGAAGCGAACCGAGCGCTGCCAGGATGCGCCGAGGAGACGCACCCGACCCTGGACGAGCTACCCGGGCACGAGGCGATGCGAGAGGAAGCTCAGCACCTGCAAGTGCTGAAGCTCGGCTCGCGCTCAAGCGAGCGGCGCCCCAGGAGGAGGCGCAGATGAACGTGGAGGACCTGGTCGACACAGCGATGTCCCAGGCAGCGTCATCAAGTTCAGCATCGGCATCCGTGTCGAGACCGAGCCAGGCTCCAGATGGATCGATGGGCGTCGACTTCCTGGAGCGGACCAACGGCTACGACAAAGGCCGCACGTTTATCATGACCTACGAGCTGGCGATGTTCGAGGTGCGGGCGAACGCCAACGTGAACGACGCAGAGCAGGCGGAGGAGATCGCGCCACTTCTTACCAAGATGTGCGCAGTGGACACTGCGGAGGTTTATTCGCCGCGAAGGTTTGCAGAGATGACTTTCAGGCACGGCCTCGCGCACGGCCTGGCAGTGGATGTCGAGACTGGTTGGGATCTGCGATTGCCCGAGCAACGAAAGGAGTGCAAGAAGCAGCTGAAGGACGAAAACCCGCTGCTGACGATCACCAGACCCCCGTGCACGTCACTCAGCAACTTGCGGACGCTCTCGGACTCAAAGCGAGACCCGAAGATCGTGGAGGCGGAGATCCTGGAAGGCGAGGCGCACCTCAACTTCAGCATGGAGATCTGCAAGGAGCGCTACAAGGCAGGGAAGCTATTTCTTCACGAAGCACCTTGGTCAGCGAGTAGCTGGCACCGCCCAAGCGTTCAGGAGGTCATGCAGTTGGCAGGCGTATCCTTAGTCCATGGACCTATGTGCCGCTGGCACATGCAGGCGACCGACTCTAACGGAAAGTTGGGCTTCGTTCGGAAGGAGACCGGGTGGCTCACTAACAGCGAGCTGCTCGCCGAGATCCTCAAAGGCTACTGCCGGCGCCCCCGGGGTCCGAACGGAGAACTCGCTCGCCATGTTCATCTGGTTGACGGACGCGCCAAACATGCACAATGATAGCCTCCGAGCTTGGTGGCAGCTGTTCTCAAAGGCCTACGAGAGGAGCTTCGACGACGAGAAGGGCTTAACCTACTTGCAGCTCTTTGTGGAGGACCACACCCACATGAAGAAGATACTGTGGTGTTCGCTGGGTACCAGGACGACTACTTCATCGACGATCTCACGGGTGAGATTTTGGACCCCGAGGGTGTGCGAGCCGCGAGGCAAGAAGAACTGGATTGGCGCCGCGGGAGGCAGGTATGGATGAAGGTACCTAGACGCGAGATGCTCGAGAAGGGCAAGAAGGCAGTGACCTTGAAATGGATCGACACGAACAAGGGCGACCGAACTCAACCACGGTATCGAAAGGGTATTAAGAAAGCTATGAGGTCCGAAGATCGACCAGATCAAGCTGAACTATTTTCGGCCATGCCACCGCTGGAAGCGTTCAGGGCGATGGTGGCCATCTTCGTCGGCCGCGTGAACGACGCCTACCACGACGGCGACACAGAGCAGATCATTTACAAGTTTTACGACATCTCGAGGGCGCACTTCTATGGAGATGTGAATCGCGAAGTGTATGTGGAGTTACCCGAGGAGGAGACCCACGACGATCCAGAACCCATGGTGGGCAGGCTACTCAAGACGATGCACGGCACAGTAGATGCAAGTCATGTGTGGCAAGACGACTACATCGGCCTGGCGAGCTCGCACGGCTTCAAGGAGGGCGTCTCGAACCCAGCGCTGCTGTACCACGCCGAGCGTCATATACAAGCGGAGGTCCACGGTGACGACTTTGGTGTGATGATGCGCAAGTCCCAAGAGGGGTGGTTCGATGACGTGCTTTCGCGCTACGACTTTAAGGTCACGGGTATTCTGAGCAGCAGGCCCCTGGAGGAACAGAGCGTGGTCTATCTCGACCGGGTGTCGATCTGGAACCCCTTCGAGCGTTCGGCCTACCTCGAAGCGGACGCCCGGCACGTGAAGATGGTGATCAGGGACCTGGGCTTGGAGAACGCGATGGAGGTGGCCACCCCGGCTGCGAAGAGGTCTGTCGCGGAGATCTTGAGTGGCAACCAGACCTCGCCGAAGCTGGACGACGAGAAGGTGAAGACCTACCGCAGCGTGACCATGCGGATGATGTGCCTGAGTCTGGACCGGCCCGACATCAGCTACAGCGCGAGCATGCAGGCTAGACACATGAAGGAGCCGAAGGAGACCCACGTGGAGGATCTGAAGCGCATTGGCCGCGACTTGAAGAAGTACCCCGCTGGAAGGTTGTTGTTCCCTGCTCAGAAGCTGCCTAGAAAGGTTTGTGTTTACTGCGACAGCGACTACGCGGGGGATCCTATTACGAGGCGTTCCCGAAGTGGAAGGGCCATTCTATGGGGGGGCGCATCTGCTGAAACATAGTAGTTCGGTCCAATCCACGGTGAGTTTGAGCAGTGGCGAGGCCGAGTACTATGCACTACTGCGTGGAGCCTGCCGCGGTTTTGGAGCACAGGCCACTTTGGCCGACCTTGGAGTTGAGGTGGACTACGAGATGGAGCTTTACATTTTCAGTGATAGCTCAGCCGCGAGAGGAATTGCAAGCCGACAGGGACTGGGAGCTGTTCGACACTTGGACGTTCGATTTCTATGGCTGCAGGAACGTATTCACAGGAGAAGGCTGTTGCTGAAGACGGTCGAGGGGCACTGGAACCCGGCGGACCTGTTCACGAAGGCCCTCGACCAACACGCGATGGAGCGGTTGATGAAGCTGATTTGTTTCACGATGAAGTTCGACGGTAGCGTGAGGCACCGTGCACTGTGATATTTGACGCCGGCTGTTTGCCGGCGCATGTCTCGTGAAAAATGATCGAGGCGCTGGTTCCGTTTTGGACTTTCGCCCTCCGCCTCCGCCCAGCCGCGGCGACGAAGGCCGAGGAGGGGCGTTCGGATATCTAGGGCCAGCGCCCTGGTTCGGGGATTTCCTGGAACTTAAGTGAGTTTCGGATTTGATCTAGAGGTTGAGTTTAAGAAGAGAGAAAGACCAGAGGTGATTCAGAGCTCTGTCTGTTATCCATCGTGGTTCAAAAAATAGAAAGAATGCTCCTTCCGCCAGTGCAGTCATTCTGCCTAGCCGCGGACACAACAATTGCGTGTGTGCGTGTGTGTGGTGTGTGCGTGTGTGCGCGTGTGCGTGTGCGTGTGCGTGTGCGTGTGCGTTCGCGTGTGCGTGTGCGTGTGTGCGTGTGTGTGTTTGTTTGTGTTTGTCTGTGTTTGTCTGTGTGTTTGTGTGTGTCTGTGTCTGTGTGTGTGTGTCTGTATCTGCGTCTGTGCGTATGTGCGTTCCCTTGAATTTCTGTATGTGCACTTGCATGTGCAGCAACGGCAACCGCACCCAGGTGGACCATACAACGGCCCGAGGGACCCCTGGGCGTGGACAGAGGATGACTGCAAGGGCTTCCTTACCAGCATATACGGCCCAACGATCCCGGACAACGGTATCCCCGAAGGACGGCCCTGGGGCGGAAGACGAGCCGCCTTGGCACACTTGGTAGCCCACCTTATCAGGCAGAAGGGGCGTTCACCAGAAAGCAGGAATGACTTCCTGGCTGAACAACGGACCGCCTTCCTGCAGGCTCCCCATCCCCATCTGTTTCGGGACCTGGGCAAAGACCCCAACAAACATGGACGGCATCGCCTCATCAGCTTCCTGGCCTCGCAGGGCATTCAGGACTTGCGGTCTCCTCCACTACAAGACTACATTCCAGGTGCCGCCGCCAACCCCATCACCAAGTCCCTCCACAACAGAGTCAGGACCGGCCCGCAGGCCGAGGGGCGCACCTCTGCCCGAACCCAGGAACCCCGACGTGACCAGACCCTGGAAGAGGCCAGCGTTTCAGCAGGAGGCTCTACAGCTGCAGGCCCGGGGGTTCGTGCCAGCAGCCTTGCAACTCTTGCCCCCCGCCCTACTGAAGTCGACTGCTCACCCACACCGTCGTCCCCGCGCGCAGTCTCTGAGGTCGAGATCGGTGACGCGCAGACCGAGGGCCAGAGGACCCACAAGCGCACCCCAGCAGCAAGCCCCGCCCTGACCATCACGCCCAGGCAGCGACCAACAGCCCCGATTCCGAGCGAGCCCATCAGCCAGCCTTCCAGCTGCCGCAGCACACTCAGGCTACAGAGGCCGAAAGTGCTGAGGAGCTGGATGCTAGCGCACCCAGCCGCAACGATTACCGCACCGAGTCAGTCTCCAGAATGGGCGCAGGAGACGAACCCGACGAAGGCCGAGCACGTAAGACACCCAGGACGTCAGAGCAAGGGCACGGTCGTCCGCAGCAGGCCGAGACGATACACGAAAACAAGGACCGACTATCGAGGAGAGAAGGCTCCTCATCTGCTGCGCGCCCGAACAGCGCCAACCCAGAAGCGCCGCCTGAGGCTTGTTTACATGATGTGGATGACCCGCTCCGATTGCCAGCATGAAGAGCGGGTTTCATGGGGAGGGGGCTCCCGCCATAGACGTCCTCGCAATTCAGTCACAAACGAGGGTCCCGCCTGAGGCGTCTTCAAAGTTCAGGCGTGAAAGGCCCAAAGGCGACGACAATTTAAGGATTTTGATGACCCGCTCCGATGGTGATGATGATGAGTGGGTTAGTGAGTGAGTGAGGGACTGAATGATGATGTGGGTGGGTTCCTGTTCCTGTTCCTGCCCGGGGTGCCCATAAAAAATCATGAGCCCCAGTCAGGATATGGGGAACAAAACCATATGGGAACTCGATCCAGCTGTAAAGCAAACTGACGAGGGATCGATCCAATTCTGATGGAAGCACATTAAGGTTCGATCCAGGTAGAGATTGGTTCTACGACGGCCCGAACCAGGCTCTCATAGGATCTCGCGATGGCTGCACCCAGATCTTCCAAAAAACAGTAGAGTTCGATCCATCTATAAAGTAATTTTACGAGGGCTCGATCCAGTTCGACGAGCGTCCTAATAGGATTCGATCCAGCCCTCACAGTACCCGACTAGGGTTCGATCAGCTCTAACGGAATCCTAAGTGTCATGGTCCGACCAAGCTTTAATAGGATCTTACGAGGGTTGGGGTCAGCTTTAAACGAATCTTATTCGGGCGCGATTAAGTCGAATCTCTACCACAGAATAACCCAGTCAGTTGATGTTTGTACATAAGTAACCCCGGATCGATAGTGAGGCCGATTATAGGTCGATCGTGAGACCGATCGTGAAGTCGATTCAGATAAATCGATCGTAAAATTGTTGTCTGAGATCGCTCGTGCGATTCATAGTGAGTTCGATCGTGAGATCGATTGTGCAAGCGATTTTGAGATCGATAGGAGGGGTATGAGATCGATGGTGAGACCAATCGATAACGAGATCGACCAATGAACCCATGACCCCGGAAACCGGGGATCTCCGCCGCCCGCCGAAATCGGCCCGGAACCAGCAATCGGGAACCAGGGAACCGGAACCGGGAACCCAGGAACCCGGCCGCCTATCGAAATCGGCCGCTAATTTTGGCCAAATTTTTGAACATCCGCTGGAAGCCTTTCAGTGCAAACACTGATTGTGGAATGCAGTCCGTCGAGGGTTCGAACCATCCTACTATGTCTAGAGATCTAGTAGGGGAGAATGCAGTTGCCATCGTATGCTCGTAGGGCCGGAGCCAGCTCTAATTGAGCCTCACGAGAGCAGGATCCATTTTTCAGTTGAATTCCACGAGGGTTCGGGTCAGCTATGGTAGTTAACATCCTATCAGCGTTCGGTCCTGTCATCGCATCCTACTGTGTTTCGATCCAGCTATAACGGGATCCTACCATGGCTCGGTCCATCTTTCATGGAATCCCATTAGGGCTGGATCCAGCTCGAGTAGAATCTTGTTAGGGGTCGATCCAGCTTTGATGGTATCCGAGAGGCTCGACCCAACCCGATAGGAATCTGCGCAGGGCTCGATCCAGCTTTAACAGAGTATGATTAGTACCCGATCCAGTTTTCAGGGTATCCGATTCAATTTCGATCCAGCTTTATCAGAACCTTGCTGAGGTTCGAATCAGCATTTCTTGAATCCCATTAAGGCTCCATCCAGCTCTAATCGTATCCGTTTGCGGCCCGACCCAGCTTCCATAGAATCCTCTTTGGGCCCGATCCAGCTTTAATGAAGATTTGCGAGGACTGGACCCCGACCCAGCTGTCTGATTGAATCTCACTAGGGCTCCATCCAGCAGCCCTACTCGATTCCGACTAGGGCTCGGCTCCGATGTAATAGAACCCTATACCAGGGCTCGATCCAGCTCATCGTCACCATCATCACCATCATCACCATCATCATCATCATCATCATCATCATCATCATCATCATCATCATCGTCATCATCATCATCATCATCATTATCATCGGCATCCTCATCATGATCCTCATTCTCACCATCGTCATCATCCCCGTCACCGCCACCATCACCATCGTCATGATCGTCGTCACCATCACCACCATGTTTATCATCCCCATCGTCGTCGTCCTCGTCGTCCGTCGACGTCATCGTCCTGGTCGTCCATGGTCGTCGTCCGTGTTTTTCCTCGCCGCCGTCGTCGTCACTGTCGTCGCCGTCACCGTCATCATCATCATCGTCATCGTCGCCGTCGTCGTTGCCGTCGTCGCCGCCGTTGTCTTCGTCGTCAGCGTCGTCGTCGATATCGTCGTTGATATCGTCGTCGTCGTGGTTGTCGTCGTCTGCGTCGTCGTCGTCGTGGGCGCCGGCGCTGGCGCCGTTTGTCACTTGCGATGAAAGGGGAGGGGGGGGGAGCGGGGGGGGAGGGGAGCTTGAACACTCCTCCATTGAGGCGCGGTCGGCTCCAATCCTTCCACCCTTGCAATTCGGGGGGGGAGGGCTGGTCCGAACCCCTCCGCCCCATTTCAAGCGTCCACAGAACGCGCTCGTTCGGAAGTTTTGATTGGCGTGTCGCGGGGCAGCACGCTAACCACTTCCAAGTGTTCAAGCGGCCAGGTCCCAAGCCTTTCACGCGCCATCCGCTTGCAGGGCATAGCGTGTCGCCAGGGCCTCCGCCGCGACACGCTGAGCAGAAGTTCTCGACCGTAGGAGAGGAACGCCAGCGATCCCGTGGCCCCCGTCCGGGAGGTGCGTCCAGGCATCGAATACCACGGCGACGGCGAGCCCGCCTTTTGGTGCCGAGGTCGTGCAGGGGTGCCAGCATCCCCCCAGGCGGGCAGCTCGATCCCCCACGAGCGCACGAGACACGGACAAGGAAGGCATATCGCAGGCGGCATGCTCGCGGCCAGGCTGGACGCCGTCGTGCTCCTCCTCCTCCTCCTCCTCCTCGTCCTCCTCCCCCTCCTCCTCC